TGGGTTTTATATAATAACTATTACGCTGAGAGAGTGAGAGGAAGTGATAAGAAAAAAATTGTGTTTATCGTGGTTGATAGGAGAGAGAGAGTGGTATTCCAATTCTGCCAAAGGAAGAGAGAGAGGATTGGGTGTCTTATTGCTCAGATCATGGTATGGATTAACATGAAGGTCAGTGGAATTGCAGCGTTAGTGGTTAAGGTGACAACTGGTAAACGACTAACACCACTGGTCAAACCACAACTGGGCTCTGATAACAACAGGCGAAGAAAAGTGACAGCACGACAGTGACTTCGGAGCAACGCTGGAACAGTACTAGAGAACATACCCGCGACTATCACGGTCTCGAGACCAACACTGTAGAGGTGCATACAACATCGACAGCAGAAACAGGACCAGGAAACACCACCAGCAGAGAACTCAACGAAACAGTCGGATGCCACGAGTTAACCCACCTCCGTGAGGCACCTACCGCCAACATCATTACAACAGCTGGCGAGCATCTTGGAACACAGCAACCGATAGATGAAACACACATTCAAATATCTCAAATACAGCGACATGTCTGAGTCGTAGGGAAATACGAGTAGCCGCACATCACTGGCGAAGGAGACAGCGGCAGAGGAGTGGCCGGTGAGGCGGCGAAGGAGGATCAAACGAGGATGGGGGCCACTAGGACTCTTGCTTAGATATAGAAGCCTTGGTTGATTGGCCTCAGACACGAAGGTGATGCGGAAGTGGGTGTTTGGAGAGAGGAAAGTAGGTGCCGAGAGGGAGAGGGAGGTTTGAATTGGTGAGCTCCGGCGGGCGGTCAAGGCAAGGTTTGCCGCCGCCGGAAGCGAAGAACTACCAAGATCTTTACACTGTGCTTCTGATACATGTAGAAATTTAATGTATAAAGAAGAAATGATTGTATATCGATGTTGTATAATTTCTTTTCAAATGGCTGAGGGGCTCTTATTAGGAGATGGTAGGGGAGTTAGGTGGTAGTAGGGTGGTAGTGATAGGTTGTAGTAGGTGGTATGTAAGGTGGTGGTAGGTTAGTAGGTGGAGTAGGTGATGGTAAGTTTTACAGAGGCTTTACTCTGGTCCGAATGGCCGAGCTAGTTCTCAACTCGACAGATTTTGGTGCGTTAGGGCTTGGAAGGAGCATTTTTTGTTTGACGCTATAGTGCCGATGCATCAAGCAACTTCTGACCATTGGCAGTTTGTAGCAGTGGGGAGTCGGAGTGGTCTTTGCGTTTTGGTTGAGAACATGTGGTACCGGCATAGGTTTTGCTGAGAGGTGGTGGTTGGTGGGAGAGTTAATGTTGAGATGGTTCCCTAGCTATCTGTTAACTCATAAATGAAATTTCTTAAGTTCTGATTTGAAGAGGCGGAATTTAGCAGGTTTTTG